AAGCAGTGGCAATATTAACTGTTATAATTACTCCAAAGAAAACTGATACTTCAGGGTCCTTACTCTTGATTTAGTAACAGGGGTTTGGGAAAATTTTCCTTAGGAATCAGTTAAAAATACAAATATTAATGTCTAAAAAAGTTCAGCTTGTTTTTAATAAAATAATGACAAGTTAAATCCATAAAAATGTGTGTAAAAAACCAAAAATCCACAGAACTGAGTAATACATAATTACTTTATATAACATTTAAAGTGTTTAACCACATGGGAAAGTGCTGTATGTTGACTGAGATATAGAAGTGCAGGATACAGCAGAAATCTGACTATATAAAAATGATAGAAAAATATGAATTATTAGGGAAATTGTTTTTTTGTTTAAGTCTAACTACAAGAATTTCAATTTAAATATCCATATTTCAATATTTTACTAAGTACCACTCAATTAAAACATGAAATTTCTCCTAAAACTGAATGGCTAATTTTGCAGCACACCAAGTTATACATTTTCTTACATTAGTCAAAAATGTCATACAATGTCAACACACAAAAATGAATAGCTTTTCTCTATACCAATAATGAACTCACAGAGAAAGAAATCAGGAAAACAACTCCATTCATAATGGCCCTAAAACAAATACCTAGGAATCAGCCTAGTGAGGGAAGTGAATCACTTCTATAATAAAAAGCACAGAACTCTGAGAAAAATGAAGAGAACATTAGAAAATGGAAAGATAGCTCTCATTCTTAAATCATAAGAATATCACGAAAATGGCAACATTGCCAAAAGTGACAATATATTTAATGTAACGCCTATTAAGATATCAACAACATTGTTCACAGAGCCCGAAAAAACAATCCTAAAATTCATATGGAATAATATAAGACCCAGAATAGCCAAAGCAGTCCTGAGCCAAAGAGCAAAGCTGGAGGCATCCTAGTACCAGATTTGAAGTTACACTACAGGACCACAGGGACAAACACAACATAGCACAGCCACGAAAACAGACATGGAGACCAATGGAGTGGGCAGAGCCGCAGAGACATGCACCCATGCACCCACAGCCATCTGACTGTTGACGAGGGGGCCAAAAACAAAGGGGAGAAAAGCTAACCTCTTCAGCAACGGTGCCGGGAAAATCGGACACCTACTTGCGTAACACTGAGACTAGACCCCTATTTTTCACCTATTCCTAAAATCAAATCCAAATTATCAAAGACCTAGATATAGAAACTCTGAAATCGTAAAAAGATATCTCAGGGGAAACTCTTGAGGCCACAGGAGCAGACTTCCTAAGCAGAACCCCAGCTGCACAGAAAATAATATCAAGATTCAACAAATGGGATTATATCAAATTAAAAAGCTTCCACACAGCAAAGGAAACAACCAACAGGGTAAAGACACAATCTATGGAATGGGAGAAAAATTCTGCTAGCTACTCTTCAGACAGAATATTACTATCTAGAATATATAAAGAACTCAAAAGAAAAAAGTGGCTCAATCAAAAAATGAGAGGAGAACAGAGAGATTGAAAATGAGCAAGATGTGCTACGCGCATGTAGTGATTCCCCAAAATATCACTATTTCGTATTACAAACATGAGCTAATAAAAAAACCGCGTGCTGTCAGGTGTGACAGCATGGATGCCAGAAATTCCTGTAACATTTGGTCTCCATTATTAGTAGTGGTAGAATTGTTTTCTTCTGAAAAACTCTGGGTAATTCTTTCAGTCTTCAATTGTGTGTGTGTGTGTGTGTGTGTGTGTGCGCGTGTGTGTGTGTACAGACGTGTTCTCACGTGCTTTTTAGTATTGGGTATGCTTTTGAAAGTATTCATAATGCTCATGAAATAAGGGAGCCATGTATTTCCCAAGCTAACCAACGAAGTACACCCGCTAGGACATCTGGGAGCACTGGGTGGAGAGTGCAGAAGCTACTCCAGGTAGACTTGGAGACCTAGAGGGTGCTCAGTCAGATAGCTGGGTCTGAGCCAGTTCAAAGGGCTCATCCGCTGCCTAGTGACATATGCAGTCTCGCTTTTTCCACATCATGTAGCTAGGCCATGTGTAATCTTGCTAAGGGAACAAAATTATGACACCAGGACTTCCTGAAGCATAAGGGAATATTTCATTTTGTCTTGTTTGCATAGTAAAAAGTTATTTTAGAAAAGGGTGGCAAAAACAATACAATAAATATCCACTATGAGTAATTTTGGCTGAATTTTGCATTTGAACTAAACAGGAATGATTAAAATTCACTTGGTAAATCCACTGCCAACTGAGTCTGTTTTTCTCAGTTTGGGTCCAGATTCCATAAGACCAGCTCTTTTAGAAAGCCCTGCTGCCACTTTTAAAACTCCTTCCAAGACAAGGTATTCCTTGAGTCAGCAGAAATCAAAGCCTGAAGAGCCATGCCTCACTAAGAGAGGCCTTCCATGCCTCCAAAGAGGCCATCACACAGTTAAATGGTGAGGCTCAGGTGGAAATCTGGCTGCACTCAGGGCTCGGTGGAGCCCAGGGCACTGCTCAGGGAAGTGGGGCATGGTACCCGAGGGCCAGGAAGCAACATCAGAGGCAGGTCACTCGGTGAACGGTGAGCAGGAGGGAACTGGCTATAGCTGCCCAACCCCGGACAAACTGAGGAGCAAAAGCAAAGTGGGGGTCACCAGCTGGGAAGGACATCCTGCCCCAGTAACCATGGCAAGAGAAGCAGAGGCTCATGGCGGTGTTAAATATGCTAGGGGTAGGGAACATATGGAAGCCCCAAAGTCCTTCCCTGAGGAACACCATGTCTACACTTCAGGCAGAAATGCCTGTGTCCTTTCAGAGTGCACTGTGGGAAATTCACATGAAGTACCGTAGTTAGCCTGCAGAAAACACTGGTCACGAGGGGACTCTCACAAGCAGAAGGAAGAAAACAGAAACAAGGCAACGGCCAAAGGGGAAATGCTCTCCTAACTCCTGACTGAGGGAAATGAAGAAAGATGCAACAATTTTGAATGGCATTTAGAGTCTGTCAGCTATGTCTCCATCTCCGTATTAGTGCTTGTGTACACTTGTGCATGTTTACACGCGGATAAGATGGATGTACATTCACACACATGTGCAGCCACTTTGTGCTATTCTTTTCAACCACTTCCTCTGCCATTCCTCCAGTGTCCGCTGCGGTCATAATCGTAGGAACTATTTTAACATAGGCTGACTTCATTACTGTCCACCTCCCTGAAGCCTGAGGTCACCTTACACGTGTGGGAAACTTGGCACAGACTAGACAGTGGAGGTGAGCAAAGGACACCCGTCGCTTCTGTCACATCAGTTAAACTGTCCAACCACTTGAGTCAATTCATATTCCCAAGACTCAAACTTGGACTTCTCTGCTTCATTCAAGAAATCTCCTTCCCGAATTACTTGCTCCAAAGTATAATTTACCAACATGCAGAAAATTAAAGATTGCCCTAGAAGACTTGTTGTCTCTCTCTACCCAAGGGGCTCTTATTTCATTCTCAAAAACATCGACAAACTCTAATAACTATGACAGACAAAATGTCCGTACACCATCTACACATACTCGTATATATACAGGTGTCAATTATAAATTATAGACCTCTCCTTGCTCTATGTTCACTTTTTTTTAGTTCTCAGAAAATTTACAAATTAAAGTTCTGTTTTTGCTGGCACAATTTGTTTTAGAGCTATTTAACTGCATTGTGTTGATATCATAAGGCTCCTTGTTAAATGTGTAATCTTTTAACTATTTTTTAAAGTACAATTATACTGGGAAAATAATAAAACTTTCCTTATTGTGAATGCATAATCAAAAACTTGATCTCTCAAAAATTTGACACAAATGTAATGTTTTTTGTTTTACTTTTATATTAAACCCAAAACACTGCCAGTAATTGTAGATGTTACCACTCATGAAGTGCTGAAAGAAACCAAGATTTATTCAAGTGAATCACAGAGAAAAATATGCTTAAGCCTATAGTAGCAACACTTTCATTTGGTGTTAATGAGGTCAAAGCAACCTAAGGTGGTTTTAAAGTAAAAAATAAAAATTATCTATGGTTTGCTCTTTAAAAATATTTAATGTACAAACATTACAAAAACAATCACCTTTTATATAAGATACTATCCTCTATTCAACTCTTCCATTCCAATGAATTACAAAATCACAAGCAGTGCAGTGCAATAGTCCTTAAATATTTTAATGTGCATAAAAGCAGTGAATAATCATTTTAAATAATAAGCAGAATGCTTATCAAACCATTGTTACTAATATAAGACAGCAGTGGTCATTTAATTGCTGAGTTTCCCAACATCCAAATTTTCTAATAATCTGAATATGTCAATGCTATGGACTCCTTCTTATAGAACTATGGTGTTAGGCAGAGTTTCACCATCTGCTTTTTGGTTATTTACACTGGGGAGAAAGTACTCCTGCCATCCCATACAATGTACCTGCATGTTAATCACAGAAATACACGTATTTTTCCCTTTCCACAGATCCTGGTACTCTATTGATGCCAGATAACATCTCAAATGCAACTCCGAAAGCCTACACATCATATATTTGAACCACTATTTCTGTCTAGGCAAAAATATCACTAATTTACACAAAGTTTTTAATGGTTGTATATGAGATTTTATATGCTTATGGATCTGCAACCAACTAAACATATTTTTAAAAATATATTAGAGACTACAAGGACTAGAGAAATGGGTACAGTATATACAACTCTTATCTGAAGTTCCACTTGAAAACCAAATACTTCTCCCAAGCTGTGGGTCTTTAAACCATTGTTGCTTTTAATTCATAAACTTTTTCCATTTTCTTGCTTGTGGTGCATTACCCATAAAGGTACAAAGAAGAAAGTAAGCATGAAATAAATAAGTAAAACTTCAAAGATCTCCATATTGATCTCTTTACTTCCCCAGAAACATACTTTTTGCTTCAATATCTCAGAATAAGCCAACACAATAATACTGTCATGCAGTGCTGCTTACCTCAGTCAAGTGGGGCATGGGGTTAAATCCACAGAGATTGCACACTTGACTCTTGCATTCTGTGCAAATGTTGAAGTTAGGAGGGCCCTGAGGACCTACACTGAGTTCAGTTCTGCAGAGTGGACAGGCTGCTTTGGGTTTGGGGGCTCTCTCCAGCGTGGGGGGCTGCACGGCCCTTCGAGGCTCAGCTGCTGGAGGTCTGCTCTCCTTGGCAAGGGGGCGCTTCTTGTCCGCTTCTGCTCTTTTCCCTGCTGCAGCCGGTTCAGCTTTGGGCTCTGCCTTCTCAGCCATGGGAGTTTTCGTTTCCTTTTTCACAGGGGCGCCCTTCCCAGGTGCTGGTGCTGCCTGTCCGGTGGGTTTGGGGGGCCCCTGAGAAGCAGGGGCCTGGGAAGGGGGAGCAGCTTGTTTAGATGGAGCTGCTGGCCCTCCTTGGGAATGAAGTCCAGGCTGGCCTGCCGTGGAAATTAAATTCGATGCCTGGCTGAAGATCGACGCCCCTAACCCAAAGAGCTTCCCAGTCACGGACTCTTGAGGAGTTGTGGGCTGGGACTTCGGGGTGTCGGTGGTGCCCCCCAGACTGAGACTGAAACGTCGGGACTGCTCCTGAGGCTTCGAGGGCTGTAGAGGTGTGGGGGCAGTTTGGCCAGAGGGAGCTCTTGGGCCAGGGGGCGTTGCTGACCCTTTTGGCATCGGCTGGGCTTCTGGTTTGGGGCTCATTTGGGTTTGTGCCATCTTGGGTTCCTCCTTCTTTGGAACAGGGTCAGCTTGCTTTTGATCTCTGCTCTCCGAGCTGGGCCCGAGGAGTGAGATAATCTTGGAATCCGCTGCAGGCCGAGGCATGGCTTTGGAGTCCAGTGGAGTGACTTTCTGACCAGCTGGGGGGCAGCTCTGGGAGGGCTTGGTGGACTCTGTATTTGCAGGAGGCGCTGCCTGCTCTGCAGCCTGCGGCTGGACAGAGCTGGGGCACTCAGGCTTGCCTGCTGCAGGCACTGAAGGCTGCGAGTCTGTGGCAGGCTTTCCTGTCGGGGGCTGCTTTGGTCTGTCATGGGCAGTGGGGGCCTTGGCCTGCCCCGGTGGGGCACCGGGCTGGGAGGGGGGCTCTGCAGCTGCAGGCTCCTTGGCGGGGGCAGGTGAGAGGCCCTGGAGGGTCAGATGCTTCACAAGTGGTGGGGGCTTCTTGGTCTCAGGGCCCTTGGCAGAATCCTGCTTGGGTGCAGGATCCTTCTTCAGGGAAGCCCGTGGGGCCTGCGGGGAGGCTCTGCTCAGGGCCGCTGCAGGCACCACAGGGGTGGTCTTGGGTTTGGGCTGGGGTGACAAGGGCGGCTTCGGAGCCACCTCACCCCCTAGAGCTCTTCGCATCTGACAGTTTAAACACAGCCACTCCTTCACCTAGGAGCAAGACAGAACCACAATCACCAAGACAGCACTGCTGTGAAAGCACAGAACCTCTGCAAAGCATGCCTGCCACTACTCACCCTGCAACCCCTAAAATACAGCCCATGTGAGTTTAATTAGCTACATTAAAATATAAAATGTTTAATGATATGAAAATATAACCTCAGAGACCAAAGTGCATTGTATTTTCAGAAAAATAGAAAGTAAAAATCAACATACAACTTTATGTTTCTTTCAGTGTTAGTCGCCACATTCTGATTACTCCCAGAAAAGAAATCCATGTACAGGATAATGAAAAGCATAAGTTTTAATGTACTAGATTCTATTAATCAGTTATGATACATATTTTCTCTACTGATGACACAGTCTTGGATTATACAACCCAGAACAGGCTTGTCAAACTATGAAAACACTGCTAACTTCTTAAATTAGCAGTGTGTTAACTCCCCTCCAAGCTGACATACTCAAATGTGTGAAAACAGAAACCGTCAACTCTGCTAGGTTAGAAAGATTCTATGCAAAGAAAACAAATCAAAAAATAATGATATACACTCCATTTATCATAAATAGTATCATTTAACAGAAAATGTAGTTTTTTAGAGTTATGAATATAAAGATTAATATAAGTCAATAATGTACATATTTGGCGATCTGTGTGAGAAGTTTGTATTTGGAAGATATATATATTATATACACAATACAATATAAATATATACAATTATAATAATTTTTCCTTTTGTATCCATTGGGAAAAGATGTTGAATTTGATAGTGATTATTAGAAGATAATTTAAAATACCTATGTTTAAACATTTACCTTTATTTTTATTATTCTAAACAATATATATATATTTTTTGGTACCAGGGATCGAACTCAGGACCTTGCGCTTGCGAGGCGGGCAGCAGAACCACTGAGCTAAATCCCTGACCCATCTAAACAATATTTCTTATCACAATGTATTTCTTTCTTTCTCTCTCTCTCTCTCTCTCTATTTATTTTTTGGTACCAGAGATCAAACTCGGGTCCTTGCACTTGTGCAGCAGGCGGTGAAACCACTGAGCTAAATCCCCGGCCCACACAGTATATTTTAAATATTATCAAAATAATACAGAATGTCAGATTCTCGAGTACACAGTGAAGAGCTTTTACAAATAGAGTATCTGATGATTTTGTGATGATTCCTCCTTTCCCATCCTTCCTGCTCGTGTTCTTCGTTCCTGTGAAGAAGTCTTTGGATGCATCTGGCTTTAGGAGAGGAGCTGTGAGCCCCTTTGCAATGCGAACACTGGAGCTTCCTGCACAGGCAGCTGCCAGCCCTAACCTCACCTTGGGACAAGTGCAAGGTCAGCACACGGTTACAGCACACTGAGTGTTTAGGTGCACACTAGCACCACAAGCAGATTTGATACTGACTTTATCTCAAAGTAACATAATTTGCTGTCGTTTATCTGTGTACCTAAATACATCTCCACTGAAACAGAGAAAGAAGACTTGGGAAAATGGGAGGTGGAAAATGCAAGTTGCTATGTCCTCACGGAGAGTCCTGCCTTCCACTTAAAACCCCCTCCATGAAGGGCCTTCACTGTCCTGAGTTTTGTCCTTTTGATGACCGTGGTTTTTAAACCTTTGATAAACAACACAGAAAGATACCTGATCCCTCCCAGTTCTGCCTTGTTGCTAGAATACAGGCTGAAATCACTGTCTACCACTATTACAATATGAAAAGCTTTTTATCCTCTTAGGATTTTTTAGAAACAGCTTCCTTTTATTTAATTCTACTGGCCAAATCTGATGACTGTAGAAATGATTTTTATCTCAGCTCTGAACAGGCTTACACTGAAAACAGTAACATTAGCAATCCTCTAACTGACTGAGAGAGAGAGAGAGAGAGAGAGAGAGAGAGAGAGAGAGAGAGAGAGAGAGAGAGATCAAGTGAAAAGGTGGTCTATCCATACACTGGTCAGAAGGAAAAGCTCACAGCCCACTGCACGGCAGCTCCCTGGAGACCCCTTCCTGTGTGGCCGGCAGGTGGGCTCTCACAATGGGCAGGGAGACAGCAGCAACGAGGCCACTACTGCCCAGCCACCAGGCTGGGAACCCTGTCATCATCCCCACATTCCAGTGATTCCCAAGGTGGGTCCACATTGCTATAGAAGCTAATTCCTGCTTTTCCAAAGCCACGCTCCCTCCTCCGGTTTGTATCACGTCCCAGACATTTTTACAGTTCCACCAATGGCTGACCCTAAGCACCTTCCCTAACTGAACATAAAGCTGATGTTTACAGGAGGCGCTTTTAGCTGGCACTCTGCAATTCTGCTCTTTCCAGATCGCTGCCTGCCAGGACTAGGCCGCGAGTGGGGAGGCCTCAGTCACAGGAGTCACTACTGACCCACTGTCTGTCCGACCTGTGTAGCAGGGCGTCCTCCCCCCAGCCCCACCGCGATGACGAGAGGCTCCCCTCAGCACAGCATCCGCTCACAGTACACACGCCTCTCACCTGGACTTGACTTCTCACTGGTTTACCTGCAAAGCTTAGCTCACCTCCGGTTCTGAGCAGGGAGGTACCGAATGTGTGGCGTCACTGCCTCCCACACACGCTGCCCGATACACATGGCACCCTCCTCTCTAACACGGTTGGTCCCCTTGCCAGACATGATCCGGTCTTCACTCCAACACAGCCCAGAATGACCCTCTTGGAAATCAGGTATCACCAGAGGCCAAAACTGACTCGGAGAAGCCAGCTGCCATAGGGTTCATGCAGCTCCCCACGTCCTCTGTCACAGCACCACACCCTAGCTCTGCACATCCTGTCATAAAAGTGGACGAACAAAATAAACGCAGCCAGGCGAGCCCACGACTGTACCAATGTGTCCTTGAAGGGCTCTCGGCTGCAAATATTAATGAGCTGCTGAAACTCAGTTCGCTCTATCGAAGGCGCAAGAGGGCTCATTCATTTACTCCCTGCCTTAGCGTGCTACATAAATGGGGGCAAGAGAGAAGCCAGAAAGGAGCTCATTCCCGGGTCACTATGTGTTTTAACCGGGTCTGCACAGATTACTGTAGCACACCTCCCTAATGAACCCAATCCCGGGCTTCCTTTTTGTTCAGGCTTTGTATGTATCAGGCCTGGGAAATGTAGTAATGCATTTTCACTAGCGAAGGCTTTTGCTGGATAGTCATGAATGTCTTATTTATATCTTTCAAGAGGCACTACTTGAAAGTTTAATCGTGAGCATCACATACCGGATTTCAACTAATGGCGCTACTTTCATAAATGTGTCAAAATTACTGATCGTCAAAAAATTATACTCTGATTTTTAAGAGTTTCTTTGATAATAATTCAAGTTAATCAAGTTTATACATCTAAGTAATAAAGTAAACCAGTAGATTCTGAAGGCTGCAAAATAAAACTTATTCCTGCTCAGAATTCTTTAGCTTCTCAAAACAAAAGCAACAACAATGACAACAAAAACCAGACTTCAAACAAACACAAGGTGTGCATTAGATTTATAATAGAATCCCTGATCAACTGCATGGCAGTGGTGCTTGGAATAATGGAACATCAAGAGAACGAGGGCAGGAATTATCTTTGCTGGTGCTCACACTGGCTGCTGAGCATTTTCTTCCATCCTACCTTCATCCTATCCTTGCACGTAAACTGGTGGTTCTCACGGACACCCCCCCCCCGCCCCCGTGACCACACTGCGCTCAGCCTGAACACCTACACAGACCTGTGCTCTGTCCAGGGTCCTCATCCTCCCTCCAGCCGTGGCTGGGGCTCGGGCGCCAAGACGAGCTTCTCTTATTTCCCTAGATCAGATCGAGCCAGTACAACCCACCCTGGGTTTTACCATGACTCCATCGGCACCACTTCTAGTCTGAGCAATAGCCTTCAATACAAATACACAGTGCTGTAAGGTACTTTCTAATACTTCCTCTCTCTCATCTTTAGACTTCAAAAGGAGCGCTTATTTATTATTACTATTACCACTGCTGGATACCAAGTAAATTTTAGATGAGTTATTTAATGATGAATTATTCAACATTTTTCTAGCTGTCATCAAATTATCTTAAAGTACTTATTGAGAGCCTTATACTATTTTGAGTGCCACTGGAAGGTATAACCAGATAAAATGAATAAGAAATCAGTATTACAAAAATACTACAAAAATAAGTCTGACCTGTCGGATAGCAGACTATGCCTTCTGTACTCCGGGGCTGCCCAGACCCCAGGATGGGCCGGCCACAGAGGCAACTATTCCCAGCAGCCACCTGGTACAGATGGCCACAGCAGCCATCATCTTTGGCTGTGCATATTAATGCATAATTTGTTTGGGTTACAAAATAAACACTAACATTCCTCAGAACGGTGATATAACATGCTCAGCAACCTAGTGAAACCATTTTGTTTAAAACATCCTGAAGTTAAATGGATATTTTCTCTTTGAAAATGTGGGTCACAATTTCTTCTGCTATATCATTCATTCAGAAACAAAGCTTGTGATACATCAACTACTATCCACTCCTTTATCCATAAGCTGTAATAATGTCCACCAATTGCTACCAATAACATTTATAAATCCTTACAAATAGGATAAGTGATAGAGGTATGTTTTAAATGTCTGTCAGAAGAAAAGTGACATTTTCACAAAAGCATAATTTACAAAATTATTATACATGGACAGGACAGTATATTAATACTCTACTACAGGTACATAAAGGAGGATCTCAAATTAGCAAACAGAACTTAATTACATCATACTGTACATGAACATATATGCACACTGCCTTTTGTATGATGAATTCATACATGTTTCTCAACTGATAAATACATACCTCAGGCTATCATGCTATTTTGCAGTTATTTTGTGATCCAATTAGACAGAGTTTGTGCAATTATCTGAACAGTATTACACTGTTCCTTATTATTTCATTTAAAAATGAAAAATGAAAAAATGAATTATATTAGTAAAATGAATCAAAGGTCTCATGCA